GGGGAGGGTCCGGAACTCAGGGGGTAAATCATTCCATAGGGCTGGGGCAGCTACATAGAAGGCTCTCCCCCAAGGGGCCGCCAGTCGACACTGTGTGGTCGATGGCACCCGGAGAAGGCCCATCCTGTGAGATCTTATCAGACGCTGGGAGGTATGTGGCAGGAGGCGGTCACGGAGATATCCAGGTCCTAGGCCATGTAGGGCTTTAAAGGTGATAACCAGCACCTTGAAGCACGTTCAGAGACCGATAGCACCCGGAGAAGGCCCATCCTGTGAGATCTTGTCGGCCGTTGGGAGATATGTGGCAGGAGGTGGTCTCGTAGGTATCCAGGTCCTAAGCCATGTAGGGCTTTAAAGGTGATAACCAGCACCTTGAAGCGCATTCGGAGACCAATAGGGAGCCAGTGCAGCTCGCGGAGGATAGGTGTAACATGGGTGTATCCTGGGGCACTGCAACCGTCCTAAATACGAATCAGTTGTCAAGCGCCTGAATTTTGATCCCATGACCATGGGAATGCTAAAACCCGTCACAAGTGTGGAAACTGGTCAAAAGTCACTTTTTTCCATGCCGGTGTAACTTGAAATGAACTGTTGTAAGTCAAGGACTACCTGTATTTTTGTACATTCTCTGTCCTTCCTCCTTCAGGCCCTGATATTTTTCCAGCTTCTCATATTCCTTGCTCCTGATGTTACTATCAATTGGCACTGCTACATTTATCACAACCGTTGTCTTCTGGCCTTTGTCTACTAACACAGTTTCTGGTTGATTGGCCAGTACTTTCCTGCCTTTCCCAAATTCAGTCTTCCCCTGCCATAGAATTTATTGGGAGGGTGGATTACGAGTTCTTTTTAGTCCAGTTCTTCTTAATTCAGTGGGTGGATATCAGAATAAAATGGAAAGGATGGAGAGGACCATGTAAGTTTTGAAAGAACGGGAGGATATAAATGGTTACAAAGAGAGCAAAGTTTCTTGAAAATCCATGATTAAAAATATACATTGAATAACAAACGTAAAAACCTAATTTCTAAGATCTATGATTTCAATTTCAATTTTAATGGATTTGTATGCCGCCCAATCCTGAAGGACTCCCTAAATTATTGATATATCCATCAACGTTTCCCCTGAATTTTTGGTATGGAAAGTGCACCTAGGACATCTGTCAATGCAAAAATATAAGATGAGAAATCAGGAAGGAAAAAATTATCCCATTAGTGATAAATTACGCAGTCTTTTTAATGAAGATTCATTGATTGTAGGTGTAGAAAAGATACATAGATAATATTCATGTAGCTGCAAATAGGTCATCTGGTTACTGGCACAGGTTGAATTATACTCTTATCTGAATTCTATAGTGTCACCAAACAGTAAATGCTCACAAAAGTCCCAATGTATTTCTAGTAGTCCGTTACTATTTGGTATCTATTGTAAATTCAGTTCAATTAAAAGATTGAAATTCTTATTTTAGAATTATATCTCACTTTATGATTAGTGGTAATTAACTATAAAATGCTTATTCTTGGATAGCAATAGCAGTTAGACTTATATACCGCTTCATAGGACTTTCAGCCCTCTCTAAGCGGTTTACAGAGTCAGCATATTGCCCCCAACAACAATCCGGGTCCTCATTTCACCCACTTCGGAGGGATGGAAGGCAGAGTCAACCCTGAGCCGGTGAGATTTGAACAGCCCAACTGCAGAACTGCAGTCAGCTGAAGTAGCCTGCAGTGCTGCATTTAACCACTGCGCCACCTCGGCATTTGACCACTGCGCCACCTCGGCTAAACCAGAGATGGATTGCCAATTTCTTTACTATTGGTTTGGCCAAGCTCCTGTACGTACGCGACAGAAGCGGGTGGGCAGAGCCCCTCCCACTGCCACTACTACGGGTTCGGCCGATCCAGGCCAAACCGGGAGCACCTCACCTCTGACTTAAACACTTGCATTTACTTTCGATTCTCCTGTCTCCTGTCTGTGACCCTTCTTCCAATTTATTATAGTTGAATATTCATTTATGCTTCATCTTCTCTCAAGACATTAGATTGATGAGAATGCAGCAAAGTGTTTCGAGTACACCATAAAACTGAAATCTTGTTATTTGAAGTAAGGTGATAGAAATTAAATAAATATTGGAAAGTATTCGATCAAAATTCAAAATGATTTTTATTCAGGCTATTTGATGTGTTTCCTTTGGGAATCTTTAATATCTATAGAACTCTGTGCTGGTAATCTGTGACTTACGACCACAATTGAACCTAAAGTTTCCGTTGCTAAGCAAGATAGTTTTTAAGTGAGTTTTTCCCTATTTTAGGGAATTCCAAAGGAGGGATACTACAGTATGCAACTTGATTTTTTTTGGTGTCAGTTCAAATCTTTTTTGGGCAATAGAATTATTAGAGATTCAGCAATATGGCCTTATGCCAATTTTGAGAATTTAATACCTTATTATTTTTAACAACCAAAAGAAAAGATATAAAATATATAGGTTATTCTTGCAATGAATGAGAATAATCTGTTTTTAAACATATGGTTTGATCCTATAAATAAATGCAATAAGCCTCACTCTGGACAGCATTCACGTTTAGTGATACTTATCTCTCCAAAATTGTTTCACTGAGGAGATGTAGCTTTATCATATGAGCACCACAAATGAAGAAAATGGCCCCTTTTTGACAACATCCCCAGCATTAGGAAGCATTTGATACTATGTGCCAATTAAATAGGAATCCAATGTCAACAATGTACGACCTTTCACTGAAATTCTTGCATTTAGTGACTCTGCTGGCCTCCATAACTTTAAAGCTTTAAATCCCTTTGGTACATATCATATTTTAATTTTATTAGCCAAAAGAATAATTGTGCAATATTGAAAAATGTTACTGTATATACTCAAGTATAAGCCGAGTTTTTCAGCCCACTTTTTGGGCTGAAAAAAGCCGCCTCGGCTTATACTCGAGTCAGTGAAAAATTTGCCCGAAATGGAGGAGAAAAAGGGGCGGGGCCATGCCGCTGGGTAACGCTTGTGAATGGCCCGGCGCCCCTGTGAGTTTTCCCTCCCTCTGTGTCAGTTTGCCGCGCAGCGCGCTCCGCACCATCCCCCCTCCTCACGTTCTAATGTAATGCAGGGCTGTCTTACGATTCCCCTTCCTCCCCCTCCTGCCGCTCTGCAACGATGTCCCACCTCCTCCTTGTTATGGCAAGCAGCCACATAG